ACTTAGAGACTGGATTTAGGCTCGAATAGTGGAGCTGAATCAAGATATATTATAGCCTGTACTCTCTCTTCCTTTAACTCTTTATATTTCTAACAACCTTAGTTAATACTATCTTTTAGTGTATAAAATTGAATTTACTATATCTACATGCTCTTACTTAAAATTTTACTTAGAAATTAATTTTACACATATTGAACTTGTGGAAATTACTTTAGCATTATTTCAATGGAAGTTTAGTACTTGAATTTGCTTAAACTTTCCCTTATACATATTTTTGCTGAAAAAGATTTAAAATAATTAAAAATTCTATAAACACCCAATACACTCCCCTCTTAGGTGTGTTGTTATATCTAACATTTGGTATCAAAGCATGGCTCTTGGATACCGATATTTCAAAGTTATAAATAGCAACAAGTTTTCCAATTTTTTGAGGAATTGACTTTAAAAACCTCTAGCTCTTAGGTGCTAACCTTATCTAATAGTCTCCTCTCCATCTCGAATCCTGAAAATATAATCCATAGGGTGAGACAATGTCCTAGGAACCAAAAATCTCATACTATCTAATATTAAATGGAATTATAAACAAGTAGTGGAGTAGGATATTAAAAATATATAATAATATTATAATATTCCATATATATATATATATATATTTATTTCATATAAACCATGCATGATCAAAATTTCATCCAACCTCAATTATTTCTCAACTAAATTTGTAGGCACCCATATTGGACGAAACCCCAATAGGTTGACCCATGCATACCTTCTATGGAAGAACCACACAACCAAAGGTGTTGTTCCACTTTCGAACTGCGGATTCTCCCATGTACAAAATTGAGATGTTAGATACTCTTATTCACCTAACCTCTTTAGTAAATGGGGAGCAATAATGGCACATTGAGCATTCTAAGGTGTTTTCCTACCATATGGATTTTTCCTTAAATGTCTTTAAATTGGGTGAACTCCCACACATAAAGATCATGCCACTTGTACATTTTCAAGTACTACTAGGTCATGCAAATGCACAACACCATACCAAATGTGTAACAATTTGCATTTTACTTCTATCCCATTTATTAAATTTCAAAACTTATTTCAAAAGTCACATTTTACCTAGCCTTTAGCATATGATTTCAATTATGAATATTTTCTTCTAAAAATCCTTTCCTACTTTACAACTTTATAAATCAATAAATATATATCCCTATGTATGTATACATTTCACAAATAACTTATAAATAACTCTACAAGATTTAAATAAAATGAAATTCTCAGTTACCTTAACCCCTTTTGTATCAAAAGCATTACCTATGGATCAAACACAAACTCCCACATTACCATAACTTTGGAATAGCTCCAAGATTCTGAAATCTCAACTCACATGACTCTATAACCCCAAAAATTTACTAGGGTTCGTCCAATCCATTCCAATAAACAACCAAGCTTTGCATAATAACTTATTCATGGTAGAAACATTAAAATAAACTCCCTAGGGTCACATGCAACCCTCAAAACCCAAACCCAAAGCTTCAACAACTCAAAACAATCCTTAAACCCAACAAAAGCAAAATTGAGAAGTAGAGGATAGTGGTAGGAAGCTTATCCAAGTGATTGAGGACTCAAATTAGTTTCTAAATTCGCTCAATCTAAAGCCCTATTATAGTCTTGAACCTTTTCCTTCAAACTCTTTGAGTTACCCAGGTTTTTCTAACGATCTTCTCAACTTAACGCTATTAAAATTTGACCATGCACCATGATATAACATGTACATGCCGTGGCATGCAGTGCAACAACAGCCTTCCTTTTTCTTCACTTTTTTCCAAACTGACCCAGTCCAATCTAGATTCTAGCCTGACCTTGAAGCTGTCCAATGATCCAAAACACTGATTAACAACCTAAAAACTCGATTACCCAATTTAATCATTTTATTTACTAACTACCCCTATAATTAGCAATTACGTCTATATTAAGAACTCAAGATGTTACATTACACAATGCTGCAGATCACTAAAATTTGAATATATCATATTTGTCAAGAAAAATTTGAAAACAAAAGGAGAAATGAGAGAGCTTGAGAGTGGTGATTGGGAAGTGTTTCAAAGTTCCAGCCATTTGGTGCCACTTATTAGAGCTAGATATCACTTGGGTAAGCTCTATAATCTTTTGCTCTCCCTCTCTTGTGCGTTTTGCTTCTTGGTGTTGAAGTGTTCATGGTGGAAACCAGAATGGGTTAGGATTCTACTTAATATTCTAATTTAAAATGAATATTTTGGTGTTTATTTAAGCTTTCGTAACTATTGAGTTTTGGAGTGAATGGTGATTTAGGGTTTTTATTATGGGTTTTAACTAAACCCTAATGAAAAATGGGTGTGTAGAAGTCTATGTGAGTGTTTTAAATGGGTTTTTAGTGCCAATTACCACAAGATAAGACTTAAGGTTGTTCTTACAAAAAATAATGTTAATTGATAATTAGACTTTGAATTTTTCATTTTCATTTAAGATAAGAAAATCAATTTAATCATAAGCGAGATGCAATACAAGTAAATAAAAGCACTAAAATTAATGTTCCAACAACACAATTGTCAAGGCAATTTAGAATGGTTAATCCTTTTATCAATTCATATTACCTAATTAAATGTGTATTCACTATTTGCTTATTAATCTAGAGTATTAATGGGAATAACTAATTTTTTCTGAGTCACAAAGGCAAGTAAAAACTTGATAAAAAGAAAACTAGACATAAACCAAGATTAGAGAGAATGGCGGCAAATAAATTTTATTTTGGCAAAGCAAGGAAGATAAGGAAATTTTGATTCTTTTGCTTGCATTGCCGTAACCTCTTCACTCTAAGTCCAATTGAATTGTATGTGCTTTAAATTTTATTATCTCTTCATGTCTATGGTTCACCGGCCGCCACAAACTCCTTTGGCTTTGTTTGGTTAAATTACAATATTTTCTTAAAGAGAAGATTAGGTGTCACGATAGAAATAAGAGTGACAAAAACTTGAGTAGGTGGCACATTTCTAATGTTCCCACCAATTGCTCATCTTTTCCCTTCCATTAATATATGTAATTATTCCCTCTTCCTTCCTCCTTTCGGCTTTCCGTAAAGGTAAAAGTTAGGATAAGAATTAGAATTTAGTATAATGGATAATCAAGTGTTTATCTTATGAAGTTATATTAGGCGAGGATTTCGGTCATCATGTTCATGAGACTGATCATTCAAACATGAATTAACGTGACAATGTTCTATTCCCACTAATGTCACTGGCTTATCCTAAATTTGGGTAAATATAATTTTACATGCATCACCTCTTCAATCAATGCACCACCAACACCTTTTATCAAATTAAAATAATTCCATTTAGCTTTGTTTGACTTCACTGTGTCTCTTCCTCCTTTCTTTCTTTCTATATATATATATATATATATATCTATGTATGTATGTCTCGGCCACACTGAAAGAGGAGGAAGCTAAATTTCTCCAACAGCATTAATTTCTTCCCCTTCATACTTCCATTAAACTTTTTCTTCTCCTCTAGTTAATTTCCCGCACAACTTCCCTCCTACTTTTTAATGGCTTCCATATGGTTGTATTGGTTTCTCCGTGAGTTGTGTTTGGTGGCTGCAATATGAATAGATAGCATTGGAACAAGACAAAGTAAATCGATTAATTATATTGAAAAGGTTTAATTTCAAGTTTGAGAATAATTTATATGGTCAATACTTGTGGTGATGAGAGTCAAGAATACCAGGTGGCAATGCTACCCTTCTTTATATGGATGTTTATTTTTACTTGGGTATATTTATACTTGCTTTGTTTTCCTATTTTACGAAGGAAATATTCTTATATATGTATGAGTTAGTGATTTTAAGTGTGATCGTGCACATGTACAATGTTGGGGAATTTGATATATGTGTTGAGAATTTATTGCCAATTGTTGTACTCTTTGCTTTGCCAACTAATGTTGAAAAGTTGTGTAAACTTGTATGGATGTGCTTAAGTGATAACATGTATATATTGAATCATTGTGTTTGCTACTGAGATTCCTCCCTGAAATCTCACCACTTGATCAGTTACCATTTCAAGTGAATAAGTCCAAGTAGGAAGAATGAGAAGAAGATTTCCAATATAATTAATGCAAAGTGTTGAATGGAATGATAATTAATAAAGTTGTGGCTAGTAGTATATGTTAACTGGATTGTATGTAATGCAAAGTTTAATAATCATTACTATCTGACAAGCGTGTCCTATTTAGGGAATATGTATGGGAAACTCAATGGCATGAGATATAAACATTTATATAATTTTTATATATGTAAAGTACGTAAATATTGAATGATGAGCTTCTGAGAAATTTATTATAATAACTTAATATATTTGTATTTTTCTTAGATAAGGGACGGTTAAATCTTTAAAAGAAAATGAAGATAAGTGTAGCTCGTAATACGAATTATTAAATTAATGGCATAAAAATTGAGTTTTTAGTAAAGGTAAAATAAAATAGTTTTTATAAATGAATAAATGATATTGATTGGTATGTAAGATGAAAATGTATCCTAATATTTATCTTTAGAAATGTACTCTAGAAAATTGAAAGGAGATGGGGATCATATACAAACATTGTGTCTAAGATTTTATTATGAATTTTCAATGTTACCTTGTGGATATTTAACCCAAAATAACAAATATGGTTTTCAAATATAGCATCTCCAACATTCTACTTGTACGTAAGGGAACAAATATGGTTTGCAAGAGCGTTTAAATTGGGGTGTGACAGAACAGGCACACCAGCATTCAAAGGAAGGAACATGACCATAAATATTCATTACAGACAGCAAAGATGCTTAACATTTAGGATTAACAAGATAGAAAATCTTATGTTGAAACAAGGTAGAGCTAACCTACTAATGAGGAATATACTTTAGGTCTTTCAAAATGAAATAGAAACTTCACAAACCCCTGTCTATCTCCCCCCAAAATTAGAGATGCTTACTTTATTGATGGAACATGATCCATATTTTGTAGTTTGCTCTTCTATAAGAGACATGGTCTGCCTGAGAATGAATGCAGGTTGGTTTGGGAGAGGAATATCCATAATCTCACTATGAAGCATGGACATTACAGAGGCCATTATGGGCCTATCTTTTGCAAGTTCTTGCACACACAAAAGCCCAATATGGATGCACTGCAATATGCCCTTGTAAAAGCTTGGATCATATATTTGTGGATCTATTAGAGGCATAACATTGTCATCGATCCATAATTTCCATGCCTAGAAACATTAACAAGTAAAAGTGATAGATGTTTAACTTCAATGTTATATTAGGGCCAAGGCTATTTAAAGCTTTTGCAAGAAAGAAGGGTGAAAATTAGAGAAGCTTACAAATCCTAAAAGTGTGAAAGATTCTGCATCTTCATAAAAGCTAGTGTTTTTCCTTCCACTAATAATTTCCAATAGCAAAACACCAAAGCTAAAGACATCAGATTTCTTCGAATAGAGTCCTTCTGTTGCATATTCTGGAGAAATATAGCCACTGCATTTATAAACTACATCTTTCAGATCTCAATATGCTAATAATATAATTATTATGGACAAAGAAAAATGAGCACTTACTATGTTCCAACAACCCTTTCTGTATTTGCTTGATTTTCACTGCCTCCAAAAAGTTTAGCCATTTCAAAATTTGATATCTTTGGATTCATTTTCTCATCCAATAATATGTTACTTGCCTTTAAATCTTTGTGTATGATTCGTAATCTTGAATCTCTATGAAGATAAAGCAATCCTCTTGCTATTCCCTCGATAATGGTGAAGCGCTTCCCCAATTTAAGGATTTTTGTTTCAATGGATCTACAAAAGATTGTTGAGTAAGATGTGATGAAAATAGATGTTCATAAGAAGACATTTTACTCCCTTCCTACATTATGGTAGCAGGTGCTGGTATATTTAGTATGTAAGGTAATTACTTGTATCATAACTATTTGCACTAATAAACCACTTTAATTGTTCATAGACTCCATTGAACTTGCACATCAAGACATACAAAACCTTGCATGAACTTATAAAATTTGGAAGCATTGCTACAAACGTCAACAAAGTGGTAGCATGAGTTAAAATAAAAGTTCAAGTACCATACTTGTATTTCTTTAAGTATTCTTAAACAACCAAGTTTTCATTTTCTCCTTCATTCATCCAATGCAAAGCATAGAAACATATACAAAACTGTGATATGCATGGAGAATTGGCACTAACCAAATATGTATGTATCCAAACTTTTGTTTGGCATGTATTCATAAACCAATATCTCTTCTTCAATGCAACTTCCAAGAAGTCTAACAAGGTTTTGATGTTGAAGTGTAGAGATCAACTCCACTTCATTTATAAATTCTTCAATACCTTGTCCTGATAACCTTGATAGTCTTTTTACTGCTATTTCCTGCCCATCTTCCAATGTCCCCTGAAATAAAATTAAAAAGAACTTTAATTTCTTATTGATTGAAGGATTATAAAGTTCAAAAAGACTGAAAATCACCTTGTAAACTGGACCAAAACCACCCTGCCCAAGTTTATTTGATATGTCAAAGTTATTTGTTGCAGTTTCCAACTTTTTCAAAGAAAACAATGATAGATCTGGAATATGGACTTGCTTCAGGGGCATCATCCTTGTTTCGTCTTGAGTTTGCTCCTGCATTTCCCCCGAGTTTCACACTTTTTTCCCCATTTTATTTCCTCGAAAAAACATATATTGCAATTCTAACACTAGGTTCCAAGAGTTATGAGTTAACTATATGAAGTTCTTGCATATTCTGTACGAAAATGATGAAACTCATGTTCAAGTGACCATCTAAGATTACAAAGCTAAGATTGTATTCTATCTAAACAATCAGAAAGAAGATCACTCATGCCTTGAATGAACAATTACAGTAAACTTGAAAATTACCATTTTGGTTTGAGCATTTTTTCCATAGGAAATATCCAGACACCGTAATGAGAATTGTTCCTATCAAAGATGATATTGTAATAGGCGTTGTCATGTTCCTTTTTCCTATGCCTGTATCAAAGAAAAGAAACATTCAGAGAGCATTCATTTTCTGACAATAATGTCATGACTATAGCACGTACATTGTCATCAACAGTCGATGAAAAAGTAAAAAAAAAAAAATAATAATAATAAAGCTTCCTAAGTATTTGTCATAACACTTGTTTTGGGAGCAAGCACGTTGCTAATTATCTTCTTTTTTGAATGAAAATTGCTCCCACATTTTATAATACCTTTGAAGAATTTTAAAAATAAGAAGTAACATCTCTCCCAACGATATGTAACATGACATAACATGTAAACAACCAAGCAACAAGTATATAGCATAGAAGAAATTTAAAGTTGAACCAAATCCTAGTTGAGTGTTGAAGACATGTTGGACAGTAAACAAGGTGTTCTAGGGTATTTAAAGAGCTTTCTCTAATTAAAATAGATACCTAGTTCTGAGTAGGCTAAACGTATGTAAACATCAATCTCTTCTTCTGGGAAGCTCCGTAAGTCAAGTAAATCTGCATACCAAATCGTACAGCCAAGGTTTCTTTCATGGGCATAAGCAACACAAGAGCAATTCTTGAGGCATGCAGTTTGACAGTCTACAATAGCCTCAGAGAAAGAAGGTAACACTTGTGCATCATCTGGTAATTTCACTCTCTCCAGCATCCAAAACCCATCTATTTTGCTAGCTCGAGAATCATTTTTGTCTCTTTCACATTGAAGTGCTTCTCTTCTGACGCACCCTCTGGTCCAGTTCTGCCTTCCCCATTCTTCTTCGTTCCTTGGTTCAAACTCTCTCAAGCAGCTGCAAATTGGGGAGCTCTGCAAATTACAAATCCCGAATGGACCACATTTGCCATAAACATCACACTCTGAAGAACCAATTATCCTCATAAGTTCCAATCTATTTGTCTGGGAATTCCAACGCCTTTGTTCTATTTTACCTAGAGGATTTAAGGGAAAAGTCAGAAATGACTCGTATGAAAAATATAGTTCCAAAGTCCCTTCCTCTTCTTTCATTTGAAACCCATCCTTGTGGTTAGTTGAATCTATCCTTGGTACCCCAAGGAAGTCTGCGCCATCCCAGGGGCCAGTTCGAAAATAAGGACGATTTTCTTTCCATACAAATACTTCAGTTACATTACGGGGCTCAAGACCAAGAGAAAATTCTCCATAAGATGGATGATGCACTTTTCCAAGATGTAAGTTTCACTTTCTCACCTGTTCTTTTATTAATACTGATTTTCATGAAGGGTAACAGTGTATTGCCATCAGCAAGGACAAGGTTGCCAAGACCCGAGAGTTGAGCACTGGAGTTTGAGGCAACTAGCGAGACATTTGTTGACCAAACAACCTGCTTTTGCCCATTCAAAACAACAAGATTGCCATTTTCTGAGATTGTGAGAATCCCAGAAGAATCGATTAGTGGATTGTTTCTGTTAGCAACCCAAACAATAGAGGACTCGGACATGTACCAAATTCCCAGGTAGCGATTAGTGGAATTTTGAGGACTGAAGAATCCTAGTGTGAACATGTTGTTACATGACCTCACTGTTTCAGGTTCTTGGATTGACACAGATGATGAAATGGAGTCCAAGGCACAGACCACATGTGTCGTAGAGAACAAACATATAAGGAAAGCACACAGCAAACAAGCTTTTTTACTGAATCCCATGATGAACATGATGTGTCTATAATTGAGGAGGATAATGGGTTTCCTGAATGCTGTGAAGGATATCTAATATAACATATTGTATTCTGAACTATTTATCTTTTCTTAAACTGCCACTTCCCTTGGAAGAAAAAGACCTGCAAAAAGTTGGAATTTTCGTTGGCGTAGTCGCCCAAGACTTTTCAATTTTTCTTGGTATTATTGTACAACTATTGAATCTCCCTATTCATCAATCCCTTGTCTTTTAAACAAGTTGTAAACAATAAAATTTTGAGAGATATATTCCTCTGAAGTGTTGTCAATTTCTCAAATTTGTCTTTCCTCAGTAGAATTTTGACGCATATATTCCCATGCAGTGCTGTTCATTTCTCAAATTTGTCTGCCACACCGGTTTGAAATTGAAGTTGTTAGAAAATTTGAGCTTTTTCACAGCCCAAAAAAAAAAAAATAAGGACTTACATTCTCTAAATTTAAGAGAATGTTTGATTTCTGCTTTTGAAAGTTGTTTTGTTTTTTAAAAAAAAATTTCTTTACATAAATGTTCTAGATTTAAACGGGTTCGAAATGGATTTTTTGCTTTTAGATACAAAAAACAAAAACATCTTAAACTGAGTTTTTTTTTTAAACATACTATACTTGACTATTATAAATCACAGTTATCCATGGTTAACCACTACCATAGGCATTACCGTCATATCTTTTTGGTTCAAAAAAGGCAAGACCTAACTGGGATCTGATAGTTCAAACGTGAATCTGACCAATGCCATGAGTCTAGTGGATGATTCAAGTCATGCACACCCCTATCCATGGAGAGGGAAAAAGGAGGCTAGAAGGTCTGCACATTTAGGTCATGTTTGGTACACAGCATTGAGGGCTTGGGTTTCGGATTTGTATTGGGAAAAGCCCAATTTAATATGTTTGGTACAAAGCATTAAGTCTTACTTGGGTTTGCTTAAACCCACTTAAGTGGGATTACTCAAACCCACCTCTCCCCTAGTATTGAGAAATTAGACTTGGGTTTGCAAAATTTTATGACAAAACTATCCCTGGCTATAATAATTTTCAGACAAATATGCCCCTGTGAAATTTGCCCTAATAAACCCACCTCATACTCATCTGTATCGCTGTCTTGCAGAGCGCGATCTCCATCGCGGTGAGGGACCTTCTTCGTCTATCTCCCCTGTCGCTTCGTTCGTCTCCTTCGTCGTGCCGTCAGGTACTATCACTCCATCCTTCTCCTTCGTCTATATTCTTTGCTTTTGGGTTTTGCTTCTGTTGATCTAGAATCTCTAGCTTCGGGTTCCTCTTTTTTAGGGTAATATACTTGAGATATAGACTTTATCTTCTTCTCTTTGTTTGTACTTGCTGAAGAAATTGTTTTCTTGCTCTTATAATGGTTGTAGTTGCATCCGTTGCCATCGATTTTATTCCTCTGTATTTTATTTCCATCCCTTCACTTCAATGACTTCTTATTTTTCAATGTTAGTCTGGTGAGAAGCATCCACTTCACTGCATCACTTTTTTAATGGTGAGGGACTAGTCTTCAGTTTTATGAAGCAATGCACCCGCCATTGTCCAAATCAAATCTCGTCTGGTGAGAATGAGGGCTGTTCTATGCTTCAATCGGTCGACTGGTCAGAATGAGGGATAAGTTACATTTTTCTTAATAAATTCAGAGGGGTATTATGTTATTTTTATAATTTACGATTGATTAAAAAAATAAATAAGCATTCCCTGCTATTATTACTCTATACCAAATATGATTATAAAGCCTCATCCTCAATCTCAATCCCAATCTCAATCCCAATCTTAGTCTCAATCTCTTCAAATTGAGTCCCATGTACCAAACATGGTCTTATTTCATTCTTAATAGATATACTCAATCTTAACTTGCCACTCCTTATGTAGTAGAGAGTGGATTTGCCTAATCAAAAGACTGTTAGCATTCACAAAATTAATGTCATGGGTTAAAAGATCCATAGCTTATAAACAATTAACATCTAGCTTAACTTTTTTGAAACACTGCTCTCACATCATGTTTAAACCACATCAATCACAACCCATGGTTGTGCCTGTAGAGGGGTGCATATATTAACTATAGGCAACCACCACTATCGAGGGTTTTTTTAACTCTAATTTGTTTTCAAAATAACTTAATCAAACATATTTTTATTTTGTTTTGATTTAAAAATAATTTTTAAAAATTAGTTTATAAAATATTGAGAACAAAACCAAACAAGCCCTAAAGATTCATGAATTTCTATAAAGTTTGTTTTAATATTTCTCTCATTTTATCATTTCTAAAAATTATAAATTCTACTCTCTCTTTCAAAATTTATAAAATTTATAGATTTTCAATTTCATAGGATCCATTTCCTAAAAATAATGTCCAAATTTAACAAAAAAAACACTAAGAATTTTTATTTATGTTCTCTCTTTTTAAGATATTTTTTCAATATGGAGTGGGCATCATATTTATATGTTAATTATTATTCTCAATCAAGGTGTATTATATATGTGTTCATTTGATTCCTCATTAAAAGAATTTACCAGCATTTAGTATCTCACCACACATCGAATATGTATTATTTTTGATAATTGAAACTAGTTGTATAATACCTGAATTAGTTATGTATCATTAGTTATTCTCATGTACATGTATATATATTGCTAGCCATACAGATATTACACAATCAATAATATTCATTTTCTTATTTTCCAATATTTCGCTTCCAGTAACATGGTATCAGAGCCCACTAATTTTCTTTCTTACTTTTTTCATCTTCTCTTACCTGCTTTTTCAACTTTACTCGATTTCTCTTTCTTCTTTTCCTCTTTCATCTTTTCTGATCTCATCAAACTCTATGGCCGACCTCAACTTTCTTTGACAACCTGAGGTTGAAATCTCTCCACAGTAACTTGCTCCTTCTTCTTATTGGACCAGTCCTTATTACATTCACCCTAACGAGAACCCAGCCCTTGTCTTGATGTCTCCTTCATTAAATGGTTCAAATTACATTGTTGGGCTCGCGCTATACACATGGCCTTGCTTTCAAAGAATAAGCTCAAGTTCATTGATGGATCTATTTCTCTACTAGTTTCTACTAATCCTCTTTTTCCTATTTGGGAATGCTATAACAATTTCATTCAAGGTTGGCTCACCAAAAGTCTCTCATCGATGATCGCTAAGAGTATCTTGTGGCTTAACAATGCTCATGATATTTAGATCAATCTTCAATCACTGTAATAACCTAGGGAAAAAATTTAATTAAATATATTATTGTGTTTTGATTGTAGTTATATTATTTTTGGGACAATTATGACAAGAGGGAGTGCTGGTATAGTGGAAGTATGCACATAAAGTATGCCTTAAGTTCAGAGTTTGAATCTGTTTGAGCATATGGGGAGATTTTTTTTAAAATTATTTTCAGCCTTTAAAATTATCAAAATGCCACTAGCCTATCAGATATATTTGTTTTTCTCTTCTCCTTCATTAACCATGTTTCTGCATCAGAGGGAGGGAGAGAAAAATCTGGAAACCTCAGGTGTGGTCTCTATCTTCGTTCCTTCTGTAAGTCTCAATTCCTTCCATCCCTTCATTCCTTACTGTCACTGACATGAGAGCTAAGTTGCTGTGAGTCTACTGTCACAGCTTCACCATTCTTGAAGATCCTTTCTATTCTGCTTCTCACAGCCGAACAATTTTCTCCATCCACTCTTTTTGTTCGTGCATGGTGATGATGTGAGGAGCTGATTTGGTGCCATAAGAGGTTCGTATTAGGAGATTTAAAGGCTAGATATAACTGTCTTCTTCCTCCCCTGTTGAGCTGTGAGAATTCCATCTCCTCCTCTGTTTCTAGCACTAATGGTTTAAGGTAGGAATTCCAGATCTTTTCTTCTTAATTGTCTTCATGCCTTTATGGGTTTATGTTGTAATGAATGAGATTTTGATGCTTTTGTGGGCTGATGTGTGTGCGTGAACAAGGAAGATAAATTCATTAAGTTGAAACTTTAGGTATTAGGAGGAAGAGGATGATGGTGTGGATTGAAGCTTTGATTAAATTTGATTTGTTTATTGGTTATAATATTGATAAAAAAATTTTGGAAGTTAAATTAAAGAGGAAGAGGTTGGCATTTGTTTAAAAAATTAGTGCCCATAAGGTGCTTGATAAAATGCCCATTAGGAAAGCTTTGCTTGAAATTGCAATTATTAAAACCTCATTAAATTCATTGAAAGATGTAATTGGTTGGGATGCTATTATCTTGTGAATTTAACTTGAAAATTTCAAAAGAAGATACTTGAGTAGGTATTTTTCTACAACCTTGTTAGATTTCGCAAGAAACATGAATTGGCTTGGATGTTGCTCATTTGTGAAATTAAATCAAATATTGTGAAAAACTTTATCTAAATTATTGAGAGATTAAATGGATTCTCGAGAGTTTTATGGTTGATAATTTATAAACCATAGTATTGTCATATGATTTAATTTTTGGACTTGTATGTTATAGGAGCATGCTCAATATTTTAGATAAGGGGAGTATACATATGAGATAACTACAATATTAGAGAAGCATTTAAGACATGGATTATGGTGTTTTTTTTAATTTTTTTTTACTGTCGTAGTTAATTGGGGTTTGTCTTACTTGATTTAATTTCTTCATATGTACAAAAATATACTCATATAGGGTGTTTAAAGGAAGAGGATCTTGATAAAAGTGATAAAGAGTGAGCTATAAAAGTTGGGAAGACTTATCAGGTAAGTGGATAACGTCCCAATTAATTTATATATTATAAAGTTTTCTTTATCAAAATATTGTTTTTAATAATTTATAGATATTTGTAGATTTCTATTACTTTAGCTATTTTTGTTAATTAAATTGTTCTGCTTCTTGAAGTCATGATTTATATTTTTTATATTGATGAAAATGCTTTTATAAATTCTGGTGGTCCTATATTTGATAAAGCCAACTATGAAAATTTGTGAATAGTTTATGAGATATTA